GGGGAGAGACTTGAGACTTGAAGACCAGTGAAGACCAGTTGAAATAATCTAGGCAAGAGGTAAACTTCTCTCATAATTAGAAAACTTCAGAAATGAAACAGGTTGTCTTGGAAGGTGGTAGTAAAGTTACCTGTCATTTGAGTAAGTTAAGCAGAGATTGTCAGTAATGCTTTAGAAGGGATTCTTTAGTCTTTACATGTAATTGGAAAAAATAAAATATTATAAAAATACTACTACAAATTACTATTAAAAAAAGAAGAGATTCTTTAATGGAGTGGGAAGTTTGATGAGATGACCCCTCAAGGGTCTTTCCAAGTTTGATTTCGTGATTTTTTTTTTTATATGAGGCCCATCTCCAGACAGTTCAGCATTCTGACCACAAGAGGGTACTGCTTTCTACAGTCTAGTAAGAGTTGGTGCCACTAGAAATTCTATCATCCTGAAGGCTGTGTCTCTGCCCAACTCTAGAGTGGTTCAGTTTCAACCTGGTGGTAGGTTGGAAGTTCTTCTGAATATCTCTGCCAGTGATGCTAGGGGGGAATCCTGCTTCAGGTGTTAGCAAAGCCCCATGCTCTCCCACCTGTCTTGTTGGGTCTACCTTTGTAACATCAACACATACATCTCCTCCTCAAAAAAAGAACATTGCCTCAGAACAGCAGAAATAAACTTGGGGTAAAGTAGTTGTCCTCATATTGTCTAATTTGAGAAGACCCCAGGAAAGACCCGACCTCCGGGGGCTGAGGTTCAGACTGAGTGAAGTGCAAAGACCTCCAGGCCAACTCTGCAGAATCAATAAACAGCAAGCCCTGGGGGCAGCTGGGTTGAGAGGCAGTCTCAGCCTTAGAAACTTTCATTTTGCAGACAGTGTGGGGGTCTGATGGCTGAGTAGGAAAAGATTGAAGGATGTTTCACTCTGAAGGGACACCAAGCACAGCTGTGCTAACCCAAAACAGACAGGGCTTTGGCTGCAGGGAGAAGGAGCTAGCACACTGAGTGAGTGCAGTCGTGAGGGGCAAGGACCCCATGGGCATTTGCAGAAGAGCAGAGTCCCTGGTTTTGGTGCCAGGGCAGAGGGGACAGCTGTAGTTTGCAGCCTTGTAAGGGACCACAGGGAACACGATCAGCGTGGCTGGGGGCCCTAGCTGTGGCTTAGGAGTGGGGAGGAGAACCCAGTTTGGGACCCAAGATAGACCTCAGAAAATAACAGTAAGAAGGACTGAGGCTTGGGGCATTATTCCCCATACCTCTGGACTACAACTTGATTAAATTAATAGATGCTAAAAACAAAATAAAACAAACAAAAATAAAAATGAATAGGCAAAGGAGAAAGAACCCAGCCATAGTTAGTTACTATGAGGATAGAGAACTGGGTTCATGTTAAAAGGAAGATAATGGAGCTACAAAAACCACTCCTTTTTCAATGAGAAATGTCAAATGGTTCCAAGCACAAAAAGAGTTCTTGGAAGAACTTAAAAAGGACTGCAAAAATCAAGTTAAGAAAGATCAAGAAAAAATTAGGGAAAAAAAAGAGCAATCCAAGAAAGTGAACCAACGAATCAAAAACTTAAGGAAGAAAATAATTCCTTGAAAACTAGAATTGGGCAAGGGGGAGCTAATGATGTTCTAAGACACCAAGAAATCGTAAAACAAAATCAAAGGAATGAAAAAAATTGAAGAGAAAGTGAAACATCGCATCAGAAAAACCACTGATCTGGAGAACAGATCGAGGAGAAATAATGTAAGAATACTTGGATTGCCCAGAAATTACGATGAAAAAAAATAATCTTGATACAATATTACAAGAAATTATCAAGGAATATTGCCCTGAAGTTCTAGAACAAAAAAGCAAAGTAGAAATAGAAAAAATCCACCAATCACTACCTGAAAGAGATCCCAGGAGGAAAACTTACAGGAATTTCATAGCCCAGTTTCAAACCTCCCAGATTAAGAAAAAAATATTGGAATCAACAAGAAAAAAACAATTTAAATATTATGGAGCTACGATAAGGATTACACAAGACCTAGCAGCTACTATGTTGAAGGACCATAGGTCATGGAATACTATATTCCATAGAGCAAAAGAGCTAGGATTATGACCAAGGGTAATTTACCCAGCAGCGTTAAGTATAATCCTGAATGGGAAGAAGGGGAAAAAAAAGGACATTTAGTGAGCCGAAAGACATTCAGGTTTTTGTGACAGTAGCCCCAGAACTGAAGGGAAAATTCAACATATAACATTCAGGAGAAATATAAGGTAAACATTACAGATCAATTATAAAGGACTCAATAAGGTCAAATTGTTTACTCTGTATATGTGAAAATATTAGCAGGACTCTTATGATCATCATTATTTGGGTAATTTGGAAGAAAGGCTTGGGCTGAGCCTGAGTATGATGGGGTGATTCTAAAAAAATAAAACTGTAGGGAGAGAGAAAAAGGACTAATTATCTCACACAAATGAAGCATAAAAGGAAAAGCTGATACAGAAGAAGCTAGCAGCGGGGAGGGCGAGTAGTGCTGGAACTTCACTCTTATTGGCAGTGGGTTAAAGAGGGAACATCGTATATACCTAGAAGGATATAAAAGTCTTATAAATTCACAAAGAAATAAGAGGGCAAGGGGATAGTGTGGGGAAATAGGATAAGGGAAAGACTCTTAGAGGACTGGCTAGGTTAAGGAATAGGAGGGCAAGGTAGCAGGTAGAAGTAAAGCAGAGGAGTGAGGTGGATAGGGTAGAAGCAGTAAGAAGGATAGTGAGGAAAACTAGAAAGGAGGAAAATATATAAGTAATTGTAGCTTAGAATGCGAATGGGACAAATTTACCCATAAAATGGAAATGGATGGCAGATTAAAAATTTGAATTCAACGATATGTTGCTTTCAGGAAACATAAAAATAAGAGATACATACAAAGATAAGAAAAAGGGCAGGAATAGAATTTAGTATGTAAAAAAAAAAAGCAAGGATAGTAGTCATGATCTCAGACACAGTTAAAGTTAAAATAAGTTTAATCAAAAGTGAAAAACAGAAACTACAGTGAGTCAGCAATATTATTCAGTATTTTTTTAGACCATTTAAAATACCTGAGTGTACACCTGCCAAAACAAATACAGGAACTATATGAACATAAAAATAAAACACTTTTTATACAAATAAACCTAGATCAGAATAATTGAAGTAATATTTATCATTCAAGGGTAGGTAAAGCCAGTATAATTTTTTAAATGACAATTTACGTAACTAGTCTATTTATTCAATGTCATCTCAATAACATTACTAAAAATTATTTTACTAAGTTAGAAAAAATAACGAAGTTTATTTGGGAAAACAAAAGGTCAGGAACTTAAAAAAAAACAAGGAAAAAAATGTAAAGGAAATAGATTAAGCAGTATCAGACCTTAAACTATATTACAAGGTGAGAACGTTGTTGAAATGTAAAAAGGATAATTTCAAGTATTTTAAATTAAAGTTTTCTTGTATAAATAAAACATGTAGCCAAGAACAGAAGGAATGCAGAAAATTGGCAGGGGGGAAGCTTTCATGGACAATATCTCAGATAGAATGTGATTTAGGTTGGAATATTGCTGTGGTGTAGGAAATGATGGGCTGGTTGATTTAGAAAAACATGGAAAGACTTCAGAGACAGATGATGAGAGGAAATAAGCGTGGTATGGTCTTACATATATGTGGATGAGTGTGTATGTGTATGTTTATTAATATATGTCCATGTGTAGTTTTAGCCTTTGCATGGGGAAGAAAGAGGGAAAAGTAAAAAGTGCACAGCAGAAAACAAAGAAAAGCAACAAGGAAGCAAAGAAAAGCTGGGCAACTTTGAAAACAATGTGTATTATTTATTATATAGGTTTTCTTGAATTATAAATTTCTTGTTTTATATTGAATCCTCTCTTATTGGTCTGCTGTGTACATAGCAGTGTTTTTCTCCCCTTTTCTCATTTTGTATTTAAGTTTAAAATAAGAAAAATTATCAAAATAAAAGTGAAAACAATACCTAAGCACCAGTCAACAGACCCGTGTGTTTCAAGTGGTCAGTACAACCTTTTGAAGTTATAAAGCAATCAAACCACTAGCTGTGGATGATGCAGAGCCATATTTTTCAGATTTTTGGATTTTCCCAGTGCTTTCAGAGTATCCAATTCAGGAGATTTAGGAAAAATACTCTTTCTCCTACCACTTCTTCCCCAGATATATACTGCCTGAAATGTTCAAGCATCAAAAAGTTCTTTCTCTCACAGTCAACAGACCCACCTGGATCACCATCATGGACCCAGAGATGTGAAGTGCCTTAAGTATTGGCAGAGTCTACCTAGACCAGTGAGTCTGTCTCCCTCTCTGGCAGTGGTGGAGGTGACAGTGAGGATGGAGGCAGTTGTAGAAGAGCATGACAGTTGTCCCCTAAAGTTTAGAGGATCGTGCCCCAAATCTGTCCTGATACCTTCCCCATCAAGTAGCCCTCCTACATCATTCGTCCTGCCTGATCATTCAAATTATAGCAAAAACAGATTTAGGTTAGACCTAAGAAAGTCTGCTGAGAGCCGTTCTGTCAGAAATAGGAGTGCCTCCTATGTATTAAATAGAATGTCCTGATAGGTTTATGGAGGGAAGCCGTTTGCAGTACAGAAGGCTTCATGGAAGAGGTGGCATGTGACTTGGATCTTAAAGGAAGGAAGGGATGGCAAGGGATGGGGATGGGGGGTGGGAGTCCATTCCAGGCACAGTGAAAAGTACAGGGGAAGATTTGAAGGTAGGAGAGGGCAAGTCTGGGGAATATAGGAAGGCAAGCACCATGAAATAAAAGCTTGGAAGGTAGATTGAATCCAGATTAAGGAGGGAAAGCCTTGAATGGCAGACTAAGAAGTGTGCTCTTTATTTAATGAGCCATGGGATGCCACTGTAGGTGGCTGTCCTTGCATTATTTGCTCTCCTCTCTGCCCTTGTCTCCTGCCTGCCCATCGCAAACCCAGCACACTGTTACCTCTTTACCTTAGATCCAGAGCTGTGCTTCTTCGCTGTCAGGTTGGGGGGCTCTGGCAACTAGAACACTCAATTTGAACATACTCCCACCCTTCCTCCACTGCCACTTCCTTTATTTCTGTCACGTGTTTGAATCTGTGTTAGCGAGTACATGCTGACTTCAAAACCACAGAGGATGCCTTTGGCTATTAAGGGTCATGTTACTTCTTTCCTCTGCTTTCACCCCTTTTTTCTCCACTAAGTATTTCCACTCCTCCTCCACTTCTTCCTTTTACTTTTCCTCCTCCTCCTCCTCCTCCTCTTCTTCCTTTCTTTAGCCTAGGAATAGATACTGTCCTATGTGGTACAATTATAGACTGTTAAGGAGTGGGAGGAGGCTTAGAGGTCATCTAATGAATGCTTTTATTTTATAGGTGAGGAAACTGAGACTCAGAGAGGGGACAGTTAGGATTCCAGTAAGTGGGAGAGCCAACACCTGAACCCAGGCCATTTGACTACAAATTTGGGGCTCTTTCACTTATGTCTTTGTAGTTTCAGGGGGCTAAAATACTTTGTCACCTGTTCCTTGATGATTGACATTCCTTAAAGAAGATATAAAACCTTTCCTCCCTCAAGAAGATAAGGCACAAAGCACAAATACCCATGGGAGAGGTAACATACTTAAATTCACTTTAAGCCTTAGGTGCCTAACACAGATCCTTTCCTATGAGTAAGTTTCAACAAGGTTGGGGTGGGATAGAATGAAAAGATCAAAGAGCATTATAGGCCTGAAGTTGCAGGACACTAGGGGAAGATACAGAAAAGGGAGAGTGGGGAGCATGATAGGTTTGCCTCATGATTTTTTGACTGCTGGTCATGGAGGAGGTCGTTTGGTCCAATGGAGAATGGATGGTCTATTGAATTTGGACTTCCCTGGGTTAGTTCTGGGGGAACATGATAGGTGTTATTTCAAGTTTTTGAAGGATTGTTGTGTGAAAGGAGTCAATTTGTTCTCCTGGACTCCAGAAGGCAAAAACTAGGAGATGAAATTAGACTTGATGTCAGGAAAAACTTCCTAAGAATTGGAGTTATCCCAAAGTGGAATGGGCTGTCTCAGGAGGCAGTGGGGCACCCTCCCCTCAGTGGAGGTCCATAAAAAAAAGGTTTGATGACTACTTGTCAGGTATGTTGTGGATAGGAAATGGGGTGGACACATGGGCACTGAAGTCTCTTCCAGCTCTGAGGTTTTGGGCAGGTTGGGCTGGATAACCACCTGTCTGGTATCTTACAGGGATTCTTCTTAAGGTAGGAGTTGGACCCGATGGCCTTTGAAATTCTGGGAAGTCATCCCTCCCCCAACAACCATGAGGACAATCCAGTGTCTCCTGTGTCCCTCCTGGCACCACGCACAGTGCCAGGTGCGGGACACTCAATACATACTTGCTGAATTGAATTTAGGAAATAGAGAGTTTGAGGGAGATATGAGACATTGCATAAAGTTTGAGGGAACAAAATATCTAGCATTTTTAATATTTGCAAAATGCTTTACAAATATGTCATATTTTTATTCTCACAACAACTCTGGGAGAGAGGTGCTATTATTATACTTACTTTACAGATGGGGAAACTGAGGCAGACAGAGTTTAAAGTGACCTGCTCAGGGTCTAAGGTTATATTTGAAATCAAGTCTTCCTGGCTCCAGGCCCAGTGCTTTATCCATTTTGCTACCTGGCTGCCTTGGTTCTCTGGTAGAAAGATTTTATAGATCGTATGAGACTATTAAACTCATTTATTTATTCTATTAGTGCTTTTCATTTGGAGGACTTAATGGTACTTTAACGGTCATCTCTACAACTTAGGGATTGAGGCAGAGGTTGAGGGTTGTGCAGCTCATCCTGGAGCTGTATGTTCTCAGATCAGTTGCCTTCTTCGTCATCCCCTGGATACCACCCCCAGCACGCCCACCGCGCCTGTGTGCCTGGGTTTTCCCCGTCACTACCCTGAGCTAGGCTCTTACCTCAAGCCCGGCTTGGCTTTTGAAGGCTCTGCCTCCACACTTCTGCCTCTAGGTTTCCCTGGTTTCTTTCAAGTTTCAGCTTAAATCCCAGCTCACGAAAGAAGCCTTTCCCGGTGCCCCTTGCTGCTAACACCTTCCCTTTCAGACTACCTTCGATACACTCTATTTATCTCCTGTGGACCTTGTCTTTCACATGTTGTCTCTTCCAGTGAAATGTGAGCTTCTTGAGGGCAGGGACAGGTTATTTTTTTCTTCCCCTTTTTTTGTATCCCTAGTGCTTAGCACAGTGCCTGGAACATAGTAAGCACTGAATAAATGCTTTTTGATTGCTGGATTGAATGGACCTCCCTGCTTTCATTCAGTGTCTCCGGTGCAAATTTATACATTGTTGCCAACTTAGATTCTTAGTCAAGTCAATTACTAAATAGTTATTAAACACCTACTATGTATCAAGGACTGTGCTAATGCTGAGGATACAAAGAAAGGCAGAAGACAATTCTTGCCCTCAAGGAGCTCACACTGTAATGGGAGAAGACACATGAAAAGAAGTTAAAAGGCACTGAGAGAGGTGGAGGGAGGATGGGGAGAAAGAGGCTACTTTTTGCTATGTGGGAAATGACAATGTGGCTGCCTGCCTTGGGCAGCCTCCTTAGATGGAGGATCCAGGAAGAGCCCTGTATGTCCATCCCCATATTCTGCAATCAGGAGAGGGAGGGGTCTAGGGACAGGGAATTCTGAGGAGGTTTGAATTTCAGAGCTGATTTCATCTTGGGATCATGAAGTCCAGGAAAGCAGCTGGGTGGGAAATAGTCAGGTGAACTCTGGGTGCCCTCCTTAAATGGTGGTATAGTTCTTAACCCTTCCACACCTAACAGATTAACCTTCCCAGGACTGTGTAAAGACTATTCAGGGCCTCCTTGGGCTTGCTGGAGCAAAAGCAAACTTCAGGGAAGACAGAATCCTTCATTAACTGGCTTCTTCAAACTGTGCCTTTGCTTTTCAACCCCTTTTTTCTGCTATGACCTTTACCATCTCTTCTCTCCAAATAAAGTTGTAACCAGCAAGTAATATGTCTAGGGCAAGCATCATACATACACACACACACACACACACACAGGGACACACACAAATACACAAAGATTTAAATCAACTTTTAAAGACTGATAAGTAAAAGTACGTATAGAATGATTTTGCATATATGTGTATATATAGTATATATATGTGTATGTAAAAGTATATATAAAATATGTGTGTAAAAGTATGGATAGAATGATTTTGCATATGTATGTATATATAGTATATATGGTATATATAGTGTATACACACACACACACACACATATAGTACACACACACATATTTGTGTCTAATGGCAGCCCTCTCTAGGGCAGGGATGGGGGGAAGAGAAAAAAGGGGAAAAAATTTACATGATAACTTTATTATATATTTAAAAGGAATAGCAAGTTGTATATCATCATTATCATCATCATCATCATCATCAAGGCATAATTAGAAGGAGACTCCAGGACACCCTTCAGTGATGAGGAGAGTTTAATTACTTATTCCTGGACTTAGTTGTTTCTAGCTGCTGAAGAACTAGAAGTACTGTCAGTGGCCCTCTACATTTTCTATCTCTCCCCTTTCCCTTCCCCTCTCCCCTCTTCCCTTACCTGTCCCCTACCCTGTCCAGTGGCAAAGCTCTGATCTTCCTGACCCAGCTATGGTTCCGATTCCAGCCAAGACAATCTGCTTCTCACCCCCCACACTCATTGTGTCTCAGTCCATGCTTTCATACGTGCCAGAAATCATGCTCAGAAGGACCTCCCTGAGCACTGGCCTGCAAGTGATGTCTGTCCTCACCTTTAATACCAGTTTTAAAATTTATCTCCTCCAAGAAGATTAGCCTGATTAACCCTGTTCCCTGGGAACAGCTTCTTCCTGATTGCCTTCTGCACTCACAAGCTCAGTGTGTCCTGTGATTTTTCCTTTTGGGATATGGTGCTACGTTGGTGGTCCATGACAGTTCTGGTTCCTCTGCTTTCTCTTCTGAAATGTATGGTAAGTTCCTTAGGGGAAATAGTGTTCATGGCTTCTTTTTACATAGGCAAGTACCAGGGAACACTGGATTTGGAGGAATGAAGTTGTAATCATCCCAGGGAAAAATGGAGCTTTGTCCTAGTTTGCCAACATTGAGATAGGGGTTGCTTCCTTCCTACAAGGACACACCCATGCCACGGTCAGTAGGGTTCCTTCCTCTCACGTCCTGGTCTTCCTCTAGTTTGGACTCATAGGGCCCAGCTGCTCTTGGGCTGACCATGGGCACAGTCTCCCTGGGAAAAGGTATGGTCTGTCCTACTTAACCTCAGGGACTGGTGAAGAATGAAAGTCCAGGGCCTGTCCCCAAAACATAGACTGGCCTTCGCCTCCAACACCAGAGGTTCAAAAGTCAAATTACCCATTTTCCTAGTGCAACCTCAGTGAGACTTTATCGTGTTCTCTCCCTCCCTTCCTTCCCTCAACTGTTTTTGCCTTGGAAGAAACATTTCTCAGTTATGGTTCTGCAGTGGCCCTGGGTTTGAACCCTGGCTTTGCTGCTTGTTTGTGGCCTTAGGAACTCAACTTCATCTGTCTAGGCCTCAGTTTCCTCACCTGTAAAAAAAAAAAAAGGGAGGGGGGAATTAGATTAGATAACTTCTTAGATTCCTTCCTGCTCCAAACCCTATGATCCTAGGGTTTGAATGGAGTGGGCACTGACCAAAATGTCGATTTTGTAAGATTTGTAAAAATAGTACTCTCTTAGAAGGAAGGAAAGAAAGGAAGAAAGAAAAGAAATAGTAGATTATTGGATATGTGATTTCGTGGGCTGAGGCTCTAGAGCAAGGGACAGGAAGTAACCTCTCAGAAACAGGTGAGAAACCTTTATTTACTCCGATTGAAAGCCTCTCATTCCAGTAATGCACTTTAATATATAGTAATATATTTTATTACATATTATGTATATACGTATGTGTGTGTGTGTGTATACATACTCTGTGTGTGTTGATGGAATCACAGATCAGCACAAAAAGCTTCCACAAATCACCCTTCTGGTTCTCCCTAGAACAAGAAGGCCCCCACAGAACAT